GCTGTTCTTGCTGTGGTTCTTGCTGTTGTGGTGACGGTTCGTATTGCGATTGGTGTCAATCCTGTGACCGTTATTGTTTCTGTTACTGTTATGGTTGCTGTCCTCACTATTGTTGGAGGTATTGTTACCGTCCCTGCCGTCGTTTTTGTTATTACTGTTGTTGTTGTTGATGTTGTTACTATTATTGTTGATGTTGTTATTGTTGTTGTTTTTGTTATCGCAGTGGATGGCGTTACTATTACTGTTATTGTTATTGATGTTGGTGTTGTTATTGTTATTGTTGTTGATGTTACTGTTGTTGATGTTGTTACTGTTACTGCCATTGTTGTTGTTGATGTTACTATTACTGTTATTGTTGATGTTGTTATTATTACTGTTATTGATGTTGTTATTGTTTTTGTTATTGGAATGGATGGCGTTACTATTATTGTTATTGTTGTTGATGTTGGTGTTGTTATTGTTATTGTTGTTACTATTACTGTTATTGTTGTTGATGTTATTGTTATTGGTGTTGGTGTTACTGTTACTGTTATTGTTGTTATTGATGTTGTTATTGTTATTGTTTTTGTTATTGCAATGGACGGCGTTACTATTATTGTTATTGATGTTGTTATTGTTATTGTTGTTGATGTTGTTATTGATATGTTGCTATTATTGTTATTGATGTTGGTGTTGTTACTATTACTGTTATTGATGTTATTGATGTTGTTATTGTTATTGTTTTTGTTTTTGCAATGGACGGCGTTACTGTTACTGTTATTGTTATTGATGTTGTTATTGTTATTGTTGTTGATATTGTTATTGTTATTATTATTACAGTGGATGTTGTTACTGTTACTGTTATTGATGTTGATGTTGTTATTGTAATGGTTGTTGATGTTACTGTTACTGTTATTGTTGTTGTTGTTGTTATTGTTATTGTTATTGATGTTGTTATTGTTTTTGTTATTGGAATGGATGGCATTACTATTATTGTTATTGATGTTGCTGTTGTTATTGTTATCGTTGTTGTTATTCTTGTTATTACTGTTATTGTTGTTGATGTTGTTATTGTTGTTGATGTTATTGATGTTGTTACTATTATTGTTGATGTTATTGTTTTTGTTTTTGCAATGAACGGCGTTACTATTATTGTTATTGATGTTGGTGGTGTTATTGTTATTGTTGTTGATATTGTTACTGTTATTGTTATTGTTGATGTTGTTATTATTGCTGTTATTGATGTTGTTACTATTATTGTTGGTGTTGTTATTGTTGTTTTTGTTATTGCAATGGACGGCGTTAGTATTACTGTTATTGATGTTGCTGTTGTTATTGTTATTGTTGTTGTTATTCTTGTTATTACTGTTATTGTTGTTGATGTTTTTGATGTTGTTACTGTTATTGTTGTTATTGACGTTGTTATTGTTTTTGTTTTTGCAATGGACATCGTTATTGTTACTGTTATTGTTATGGATGTTGTTATTGTTATTGTTGTTGATGTTGTTGTTGATATTGTTACTGTTGTTGTTGATGTTGATGTTGTTATTGTTATTATTACAGTGGATGTTGTTACTGTTACTGTTATTGTTATTGATGTTGATGTTATTGTAATTGATGTTGATGTTACTATTACTGTTATTGATGTTGTTGATGTTGTTACTATTACTGTTACTGTTATTGTTATTGTTGTTGTTTTTCTTATTGCAATGGACAGCGTTACTATTACTGTTACTGTTACTGTTATTGTTATTGATGTTGTTATTGTTGTTGATGTTATTGTTGATGTTATTGTTGTTGTTTTTGTTTTTGCAATGGACGGCGTTACTGTTACTGTGATTGTTGTTGATATTGTTGCTCCTTTGCTGACCCCCCGTCTTCTCTCCCCCCCCCCCCCCCCCCCCGCAGACATCCACGAGCCGGGCGCGCGCAGGCCGGTCATGGTGTACATCCACGGCGGCTCCTACATGGAGGGGACGGGGAACATGATCGACGGGAGCGTGCTGGCCAGCTACGGCAACGTCATCGTCATCACCCTCAACTACCGCCTGGGCATCCTGGGTGAGGACGGACGGACGGGGGGGGGGGGGGGCGGACGGACGGACAAGGACAGGGACGGACGGACAAGGACAGGGACGGACAGACAAGGACAGACGGACAATGAGACAGACGGACAAGGACAGATGGACAAGGACAGGGATGGACGGGCGGACAAGGGGACAGACAGACACGGAGACAGACGGACAAGGACAGACGGACAAGGACAGATGGACAAGGACAGGGATGGACGGGCGGACAAGGGGACAGACAGACAGGGACAGACGGACAAGGACACGGACAGACGGACACGGGCAAGGACAGACAGACAAGGAGACAGACGGACAAGGACAGACGGACAATGAGACAGACGGACAAGGACAGATGGACAAGGACAGGGACGGACGGGCGGACAAGGGGACAGACAGACACGGAGACAGACGGACAAGGACAGACGGACAAAGACAGACGGACCAGGACAGGGACAGATGGACAGGGACAGACGGACAATGAGACAGACGGACAAGGACAGATGGACAAGGACAGGGATGGACGGGCGGACAAGGGGACAGACAGACAGGGACAGACGGACAAGGACACGGACAGACGGACACGGGCAAGGACAGACAGACAAGGAGACAGACGGACAAGGACAGACGGACAAAGACGGACAAGGACAGGGGCGGACGGACAAGGACAGACAGACAATGAGACAGACGGACAAGGACAGATGGACAAGGACAGGGATGGACGGGCGGACAAGGGGACAGACAGACACGGACGGACAGACAAGGACACGGACAGACGGACACGGGCAAGGACAGACAGACAAGGAGACAGACGGACAAGGACAGACGGACAAAGACAGACGGACAAGGACAGATGGACAAGGACAGGGACGGACGGGCGGACAAGGGGACAGACAGGCGGACACGGGCAAGGACAGACGGACAGGGACAGACGGACAATGGGACAGACGGACAAGGACAGATGGACAAGGACAGGGATGGACGGGCGGACAAGGGGACAGACAGACACGGAGACAGACGGACAAGGACAGACGGACAAAGACAGACGGACCAGGACAGGGACAGATGGACAGGGACAGACGGACAATGAGACAGACGGACAAGGACAGATGGACAAGGACAGGGATGGACGGGCGGACAAGGGGACAGACAGACACGGACGGACGGACAAGGACACGGACAGACGGACACGGGCAAGGACAGACGGACAAGGAGACAGACGGACAAGGACAGATGGACAAAGACGGACAAGGACAGGGGCGGACGGACAAGGACAGACGGACAAGGACAGGGACGGACGGGCGGACAAGGGGACAGACAGACATGGACAGATGGACAAGGACAGGGATGGACGGACAAGGACAGACGGACAAGGACAGGGATGGACGGACAGGGACAGGGATGGACGGACGGACACGGACAGAGAGACACACACAGACAGACAGACACAGACAGGCAGGGACAGACGAACGTGGACAGGGATGGACGGACGGACACGGGCAAGGACAGACGGACAAGGACAGACGGACAAGGACAGGGATGGACAGACAGACACGGACGGACGGACACGGACAGACGGTCATGGACAGACGGACACGGGCAAGGACAGACGGACAAGGACAGGGATGGACAGACAGACACAGACAGACAGACAGACACAGACAGACATGGACAGAGAGACGGACATAGATACAGACAGAAAGACACGGACAGAGAGACGGGCAGACGGACAGACATGGACAGACACACAGACGGACAGATGGACACAAACAGGGATAGACGGACAGACAGATGGACACAGACACAGACAGAAAGACCGACAGACAGATGGACATGGACAGAGAGACAAAGACAGAGATAGACGGACAGACAGACACAGACCGACTCGGACAGACAGACAGACAAGGACACAGACATACGGACATAGCGGACACGGACAGGGATAGACAGACGGACAAGGAGACAGATGGACATGGACAGACAGACAAACACAGAGATGGACAGACAGACACAGACACGGACAGAGAAATGGACAGACGGACAGACATGGACAGACACAAAGACACAGACAGACACAGGCAGGGACATAGACAGACAGACAAGGAGACAGACGGATGGACATGGACAGACAGACAAACAGAGATAGATGGACAGACCCACAGAGACAGACAGACAGACAGATATGGATAGACACAGACATGGACAGACAGATGGATAAAGACACAGACAGACAGACACGGACACCCAGACACGGACAGATGGACCTAGACCGAGAAAGACAGACAGACCCACAGACACGGACAGACAAATGGCCCGACGGGTCAACAGAGACACAGACGGACAGACAGACCAGGACAAACAGACGGGGGGGGGGTGGGAGGCGGGACGACAGGATGGACAGACGGGTGCAGACAGATTCACGGACCCGGACAGACAGACAGACAGACAGACTGACGGACAGGTGGACAGATCAACACGCCGCAGACGGACGGACACGTCGATGGACAGACGGACACAGGGGCAGACCACGCCAACAACAGCGACGGCAGTAACTGTAACGCCAGCGGTCGCAGCCACAGTAGCAACCGTGACAGCAAGAATACGAACAGCAACAATACTACTCGTAGTAACAGTAGTAACAATAGCAATACTAGTAATAGCCATGGTGGTCACGTTAGTAATAGCCACGAGAGTAACAATAGCGACAGGAGTAACAATAAGAGTAATAATAGTAACAGCAGCAGTACTAATAGTAATAGCAATAATAGCAATAGTAACAATACTACTAGTAGTAACAGTAGTAACAATAGCAATAATAGGAATAGCCATGGTAGTCACATTAGTAATAGCAGTAAGAGTAACAATAGCAAGAGGAGTAACAATAACAGTAGTAACAATAGTAATAGCAGCAGTACTAATAGCAATAACAATAGTAATAGCAATAATAGCAATAGGAAAGGTAGCAATAGTAACAATACTACTCGTAGTAACAGTAGTAACAATAGCAATACTAGTAATAGCCATGGTAGTCACGTTAGTAATAGCCACGAGAGTAACAATAGCAAGAGGAGTAACAATAACAGTAATAACAATAGTAACAATAGTAATAGCAGCAGTACTAATAGCAATAACAATGGTAAGAGTAGCAATAATAGCAATGGGAAAGGTAGCAATAGTAGTAATACTACTAGTAGTAACAGTAGTAATAATAGCGATGGTAGTAATAGTAACAGCAGCAGTACTAATAGTACTAACAATAGTCATGATAGTAATCACAGCAAAAATAGCAACAGGAAAGGCCGTAATAGTAACAAGACTACTTGTAGTAACAGTAGTAACAATAGCAATAACAGCAATACTAGTAATAGCCATGGTAGTCACGTTAGTAATAGAAGTGAGAGTAACAATACCAAGAGGAGTAACAATAACAGTAATAACAATAGTAACAATAGTAATAACAGCAGTACTAATAGTAATGACAATAGTAATAGCAATAATAGCAATAGGAAAGGTAGCAATAGTAACAATACTACTAGTAGTAACAGTAGTAAGAACTGTAATAATAGCAATAATAGGAATAGCCATGAGAAGAAGAATAGCAAGAGGAGTAAAAATAAGAGTAATAACAGTAGTAATAATAGTAATAGCAGCAGTACTAGTAGCAATAACAATAGTAAGAGTAGCAATAATAGCAATGGGAAAGGTAGCAATAGTAACAATACTACTCGTAGTAACAGTACTAACAATAGCAATAACAGCAATACTAGTAATAGCCATGAGAGTAACAATAGCGACAGGAGTAACAATAAGAGTAATAATAGTAACAGCAGCAGTACTAATAGTAATAGCAATAATAGCAATGGGAAAGGTAGCAATAGTAACAATACTACTAGTAGTAACAGCAGTAACAATAGCAATAACAGCAATAGTAGTAATAGCCATGGTAGTCACGTAAGTAATTGCAGTAAGAGTAACAATAGCAACAATAAGTAATAACAATAGTAGTAATAGTAACAGCAGCAGTACTAATAGTAATGACAATAGTAATAGCAATAATAGCAATGGGAAAGGTAGCAATAGTAACAATACTACTCGTAGTAACAGTAGTAACAATTGTAATAATAGCAATAATAGGAATAGCCATGAGAATAAGAATAGCAAGAGGAGTAACAATAACAGTAATAGCAATAGTAATAATAGTAATAGCAGCAGTACTAATAGCAATAACAATAGTAACAGTAGCAATAATAGCAATGGGAAAGGTCGCAATAGTAATAATACTACTAGTAGTAACAGTAATAATAACAGCGATGGTAGTAATAGTAACAATAATAGGAATGATAGTAATCACAGCAAAAAATAGCAACAGGAAAGGCCGTAATAGTAACAATACTACTCGTAGTAACAGTAGTAACAACAGCAATAACAGCAATAATAGTAATAACAATAGTAATAATAGGAATGACAGCAATCATAGTAATATCAGAAGTAGTAATAGCAGTAATAACAGTAGTAATGACAATGGCCATAAAGCTAATAGTAACAGTCATGAGTAATAATGCTAATAACACTACTAATCATACTAACAATACCAACAATAGCAATACCAGTATTAACAATAGCAAAAATCGTCCTAGCATGAATAGTCATGACAATACTCGTAGCATTAATAGTAATAGCCGTGGTAGTAATAGTCATCGGAGTAATAACAATAGCAACAATGCTAATAGCGATAATGCCAATGAGAGTAATAGCCCTGGCAGTCCTGTGAGGAGCAATAACAGTAAGAACATGAGTAATAATAGTAGTAACAATACTAATAGCAACAACAGCGATAGTATTAGCAATAGCAATAAAGGTGGTAGCATTAATAGTAATGACAGTAGTAGTAATAGCAATAGCAGTAATAGTAATAATAGTAATAGCAACAACAATAATAATAGTAATTAATAGTAATAATAGTAATAGTAATAATAGTAATAATAATAGTAATACTCGTAGCCGTACGAGCTCCAGCAAGAATAGAAGTAATAACAGCACTGATCAGGAGGGTAATTGTTACTATTAATATGACTCTTCCCAGTATTACTATTATTGCTCTTGGGATTAGTACTGGTGTCACTATTATTGTTATTACTCGTGCTATTATTACTCCTCTTTTGATGACTATAACTGTTATTGCTATGATTGGTATTATTACTGTTGTGAGTATTGTTATTATTACTATTGTTACTATTGCTACTATTACTTGTGCTATTATTACTCTGGTATTATTACTGTTGTGAATATTATTATTACTATTGTTACTGTTGCTATTACTTGTGCTATTATTACTCTGGTATTATTAGCTATTATTACTCTGGTATTATTACTGTTGTGAGTATTGTTATTGTTACTGTTGTTACTGTTGTTGCTATTAGTTGTGCTATTATTACTCTTGTGGTCCCTAGAGCTATTATTGCTATTACTACTAGTGTAAAGATAGCAATAGCAACAACAGTAATAGTCATGCCAATAATAGCAAGAGTAATAATAATAGCAATCGTCGCATTAACAGCAAGAGTAACAGCAGTAAAGGAACAATAATAAAAGCGAGAGTAATCATAGCAATAATAGTAATAGTAGCAATAACAGTAATAGTACCTGTAGCAATAATAATGATAGCAATGACGAGAATAGTAATAATAGTAATCATAGCAAGATTAGTAATAGTAATAATGGTAATAGCAACAGTAATAATGGCATTCATAGTAATAGTAGCAGCAATAATACTAGTAGCAATAGCAATAATAGCGTTAATAATAGTAGTAACAGCAATAAAGCAACAATAATAATAAAAGCAAGAGTAGTAACAATAGCAACAACAATAATAGTAATAGTAGCAATAATAGCAATAATAATAGCAATAATGGTAGCAATAATAGCAATAATAGTAGCAATAATAGTAATAGCAATAGTAATAATAGTAGTAACAACAGTAATAGCAATAGTACTAATAGTCACAGCAGCCATAGCAATAGTAGCAAGAGGAATACTAACACCATTAGTTCCCCCAGGCCAGGGTTCAAAGGTGACGCCACCCTCCTGGCCCAGGATCCCATCCTGATATAGAAGGGAAGTGGAACCCAGGAAATGCAGAACAAATCCAGGAAATCAAGGGAAACAACCCAAGAAGATCAGCAGGAAGTGACAGGAAATGAATGTTAAAATGAATGAATGAACTCTTGAACGAATGAGTGAACTCATGAATGAAGGAAACCTTGAATGAATGAATTCTTGAATGAATGAAGTGAAGGAATGAATTCTTGAATCAATGAATAAATGGATCTTTGGAACGAGTGAATTTTCGAATGAATGAATTCTTGAATGAATGAATGACTTCTTGAAGGAATGAATTGGATGAACGAATGAATGAGCAAATGACTTCTTGAAGGAATGAATGAATGAATGGAGTAAATGAATTCTTGAATGAATTTTTGAACGAATGAACGAATGAATTGAATGAATGAATGACTTCTTGAATGAATGAATTGGATGAACTAATGAATGAATGGATGACTTCTTGAAGGAATGAAAGAACTCATGAATGAATGAGTTGTATGAATGAATGAATTCTTGAATGAATGAATGACTTCTTGAAGGAATGAATTGGATGAACTAATGAATGAGCAAATGACTTCATGAATGAATGAATGAATGGAATAAATGAATTCTTGAATGAATTTTTGAACGAATGAATGAATGAATTGAATGAATGAATGACTTCTTGAAGGAATGAATGAACTCATGAATGAATGAGTTGTATGAATGAATGAATTCTTGAATGAATGAATGACTTCTTGAAGGAATGAATTGGATGAACGAATGAATGAGCAAATGACTTCTTGAAGGAATGAATGAATGGAATAAATGAATTCTTGAATGAATTTTTGAACGAATGAATGAATTCTTGAATGAATGAATGACTTCTTGAATGAATGAATTGGATGAACTAATGAATGAATGCATGTCTTCTTGAAGGAATGGATGAACTCATGAATGAATGAGTTGTATGAATGAATGAATTCTTGAATGAATGAATGAATGACTTCTTGAAGGAATGAATTGGATGAACGAATGAATGAGCAAATGACTTCTTGAAGGAATGAATGAATGAACGGAATAAATGAATTCTTGAACGAACGAATGAATTTTTCCGTGAACGAATGAATTATGGAATGCATGGGTTTTGGAACGAATGAATGACATGTTGAACGAGTGAATGACCCCGCTCTCCCCCCCCCAGGCTTCCTCAGCACCGGGGACCAGGCCGCGAAGGGCAACTACGGTCTCCTGGACCAGATCCAGGCGCTGCGCTGGGTGGAGGAGAACGTGGGCGCCTTCGGCGGGGACCCCAAGCGCGTCACCATCTTCGGCTCCGGGGCGGGCGCCTCGTGCGTCAGCCTGCTCACGCTCTCGCACTACTCGGAAGGTACGCCCACTTCCGCCTCATTGCCGCCTGACTTCCGGTTGGAGAGCCGTTCTCGGACCCACTTCCGGTCTCGGGACCGTGATTCATGCCACTTCCGCCATACTTCCGGGTCACTTCCGCCTCATTTCCGCCTGACTTCCGGTTGGAGAGCCGTTCTCGGACCCACTTCCGGTCTCGGGACCGTGATTCATGCCACTTCCGCCATACTTCCGGGTCACTTCCGCCTCATTTCCGCCTGACTTCCGGTTGGAGAGCCGTTCTCTGACCCACTTCCGGTCTCGGGACCGTGATTCATGCCACTTCCGCCATACTTTCGGGTCACTTCCGCCTCATTTCCGCCTGACTTCCGGTTGGAGAGCCGTTCTCGGACCCACTTCCGGTCTCGGGACCGTGATTCACGCCACTTCCGCCATACTTCCGGGTCACTTCCGCCTCATTTCCGGTTACTTCCGCCCCATTTCCTGCTCCAGAACGTTTACACTTCCTCCTGAGTCGCCCAGGAACCGTCTTTACCTCACTTCCGGGTCACTTCCTCCTTACTTCCGGGTCACTTCCTCCCTGTTTTCTCTTCCAGAACCATGCTGCGTGCCATTTCCCCTCCCAGCACCTTTCTCTCAGCCACTTCCGGGTCATTTCCGCCTTACTTCCGGGTTTTCCGGTCACTTCCGCCTTCCTTCCGGGTCCCTTCCGCCTCTGACCGTTATTCTCTCCCTCTTCCGGCTCATTTTCGCCCCATTTCCGGGTTTTCCAGTCACTTCCGGGTCACTTCCGCCTTACTTCCGAGTCACTTCCGGGTCCCTTCCTCCTCTGACCGTTATTCTCTCCCATTTCCGCCTCATTTCCTGGTTTTCCAGTCACTTCCGGGTCACTTCCGCCTTACTTCCGAGTCACTTCCGGGTCCCTTCCTCCTCTGACCGTTATTCTCTGCCTCTTCCGGCTCGTTTCCGCCTTACTTCCGGGTCACTTCCGCCTTCATTCCGGGTCACTTCCTCCCTATTTCCTGTTCCAGAACCTCTCTGCGTGCCATTTCCCCTCCCTGGACCCTTATTTCCCTCACTTCCGGGTCACTTCCGCCTTACTTCCGGGTCACTTCCGGCTTCCTTTCGTGTCACTTCCTCCCTATTTCCTGTTCCAGAACCTCTCTGCGTGCCATTTCCCCTCCCAGGACCCTTTTTGCCCTCATTTCGGGTCACTTCCGACTTACTTCCGGGTCACTTCCGACTTACTTCCGGGTCACTTCCTCCCTATTTCCTGTTCCAGAACCTCTCTGCGTGCCATTTCCCCTCCCAGGACCCTTTTTTCCCTCATTCCCGGGTCATTTCCGCCTTACTTCCGGGTCACTTCCGCCTTCATTCCGGGTCACTTCCTCCCTATTTCCTGTTCCAGAACCTCTCTGCGTGCCCTTTCCCCTCCCAGGACCCTTTTTTCCCTCATTCCCGGGTCATTTCCGCCTTACTTCCGGGTCACTTCCGCCTTCATTCCGGGTCACTTCCTCCCTATTTCCTGTTCCAGAACCTCTCTGCGTGCCATTTCCCCTCCCAGGACCCTTTTTTCCCTCATTTCGGGTCATTTCCGCCTTACTTCCGGGTCACTTCCGACTTCCTTACGTGTCACTTCCTCCCAATTTCCTGTTCCAGAACCTCTCTGCGTGCCATTTCCCCTCCCAGGACCCTTTTTTCCCTCACTTCCGGGTCATTTCACCTTACTTCCGGGTCCCTTCCGACTTACTTCCGGGTCACTTCCTCCCTATTTCCTGTTCCAGAACCTCTCTGCGTGCCATTTCCCCTCCCAGGACCCTTTTTTCCCTCACTTCCGGGTCATTTCCGCCTTACTTCCAGGTCCCTTCCGCCTTCCTTCCGGGTCCCTTCCGCCTCTGACCGTTATTCTCTCCGTCTTCCGGGTCATTTCCGCCTTACTTCCTGTTACTTCCGGGTTACTTCCTCCCTATTGCCTGTTCCAGAATCTCTGTGTGCCATTTCCCCTCCCTGGACCCTTTTTTCCCTCACTTCCGGGTCACTTCCTCCCTACTTCCGGGTCACTTCCGCCTCTGATCGTTATTCTCTGCGTCTTCGGGCTCGTTTCCGCCTTACTTCCGGGTCACTTCCGCCTTCATTCCGGGTCACTTCCTCCCTCTTTCCTGTTCCAGAACCTCTCTGCGTGCCATTTCCCCTCCCAGGACCCTTTTTTCCCTCATTCCCGGGTCTTTTCCGCCTTACTTCCGGGTCACTTCCGCCTTACTTCCGGGTCCCTTCCTCCGTATTTCCTGTTCCAGAACCTCTCTGCGTGCCATTTCCCCTCCCAGGACCCTTTTTGCCCTCATTTCGGGTCACTTCCGACTTACTTCCGGGTCACTTCCGACTTACTTCCGGGTCACTTCCTCCCTATTTCCTGTTCCAGAACCTCTCTGCGTGCCATTTCCCCTCCCAGGACCCTTTTTTCCCTCATTCCCGGGTCATTTCCGCCTTACTTCCGGGTCACTTCCGACTTACTTCCGGGTCACTTCCTCCCTATTTCCTGTTCCAGAACCTCTCTGCGTGCCATTTCCCCTCCCAGGACCCTTTTTTCCCTCATTTCGGGTCATTTCCGCCTTACTTCCGGGTCACTTCCGACTTCCTTTCGTGTCACTTCCTCCCTATTTCCTGTTCCAGAACCTCTCTGCGTGCCATTTCCCCTCCCAGGACCCTTTTTTCCCTCACTTCCGGGTCATTTCGCCTTACTTCCGGGTCCCTTCCGACTTACTTCCGGGTCACTTCCTCCCTATTTCCTGTTCCAGAACCTCTCTGCGTGCCATTTCCCCTCCCAGGACCCTTTTTTCCCTCACTTCCGGGTCATTTCCGCCTTACTTCCAGGTCCCTTCCGCCTTCCTTCCGGGTCCCTTCCGCCTCTGACCGTTATTCTCTCCGTCTTCCGGGTCATTTCCGCCTTACTTCCTGTTACTTCCGGGTTACTTCCTCCCTATTGCCTGTTCCAGAATCTCTGTGTGC